TGAACCCTCAACAGTCTGCAGAATCCCCTCACTGATTACACTGTAAATGATAATCTACCTTAACCAAAATCAAAGTAGACTATCACTCACCCACACCAGATGGAAAACTCTACAGTATATATCTCCCTCTCTGCCTAAGGTTTACCGGGCAGTTCTATTTGACGATATATATATATCTCGTCAAACAGAGCTGCCCGGTAAACCGTAGGCAGAGAGGGAGAAGAGGACAATATATATATTTTATGTATGTATAAAATATCTGTGTTAGTCCCCGGGCGGCCCAGCTGGGGGAAGGTCGCCCGGGTGCTCTTCTGGGCAGCCCAGGCCAGCAGGGCCTGGGCAGGGTGCCCGGGCCCTGCAGATCCCAGCACATAATATTTTAAAAAATAGAAAGAAAAAAAAAAAAACGAAAACAAAATTGCAATACAAACGACTTTTGGGCCAAGGGACACCTCAAAATTCCTTGTTAGTTTTAACTTTTAAGATAAAAATAAATGAGAAAACATGAGTCCAAATGTACCCGTTTAACAACTTTAACCCCTTTAGTCACTGTTTATACCCCCCAAAAACCCCTGGATGACCCATCACCAAAACCGAAGTTAAGATCGGATTCGGACTGCTTAGGCCAAGCGCAGTCCTGGCCTGAAGTCTTTTTTTTTTCTTTTTTGACTCGTCTGGTTTTGCCGGGCGACCCCCCCTCTGCCCAACTGGCCCGGGCGTGCCGGGCCGTCGTAAAATATCAGAAATGTCTAAGTACGTTTTCTTTTTTTTTTTTCTAAAGAGAATATCCAACTTTCTTTACATGTGCTGGAAACCGGGTTCAGCATCGCTTACATTGCTGACTCACTCAATCCCTCCTTCCATTATGGATGAAGGACCCTGAGACAGCGGCTTTCCTTGGGAAGGATTTACCACTGCTCTATCCCTATAAGGCAATTATGATTTCTCCTAATTGGCCCTCTCACCCCTTCGAGCCGCCTGATAGAGTCTTGCCATTCTGGGACTAGATTGTCCTCTCAGCGTAGGTTAAGCAAGATGGCATTTATTGCTTCCCTCCACGAATGATTAACCATTGCTCTCCCTTGGCCTCACCTGATTCCATGACAAGTCTGTAGACGACATGTTTGTGCTTAACTGATGAGCAGTGCTCTGTGTCTGGTAATCTACTGTGTACCAACTCAGCTCAAATATGCATTGCTGCGGGCAAAGTCTCGTCACTTTTGATCAAAGGCCCGAAAGAGGGGTCAAAAGCCACGACCCAGGCCTGATAAATGTCTAAGAAAGTGCCTAGCGTCATGGGTACCGAGACCTGAGTCAAACGCTGTGCCCAGTACCCCAACGTGAGGCAGTCGACTCTTGGAAAATTCAAGAGTCAACCCCAGCACGGGATTCCTGGCCCCAAAGTCAAAAGTGAACCCTCTGGTCAGCCACGGCCATCGATCAGATATGCGTCAATGGTTGTCTGCAGGTATCCAGAAGATTCCAGTCCAAGTGGGACACATGGGAAAGTGGGAACTGTGCCACAACCAGACCAGACCATTTTTTCTCGATTCATCCAGGCTGTCGACCCGAGGAGACTGAGGACTGGTTAAGGTGAGTCAACACTATATAGAGTCGACCCAGCCGCTGTGTTGGTCATTCGGCCTTGCGCTGGCTTGACGCTGGTGTTGTGACGCAAGGCTGCTGGAGCTGCATGCTGGCGCCAGATGCTGGGAGTGGGCGCCAGCCTTGAGGGAGATTATGTCTGAGCGGCCACTGCCGCCATAGCTGTAGATATAGGAGTTGAGTATCGGCGAGGAAGGACGAGGGAAGCTTACCCGGACTTCCCTGTCGGCGGCGTTGTAATCTGATACTGGTCTCCACGACGGTGAAGAAGATCTGCGCCATCCTCCCTGATTGGCTGTTGACGTGGTTGGAGGATGCGCGCCCTGCTGTGACCTGCACACTGCATTTGTCAGAGAATGTCAGAGAGAGACTGCATTGACAAGGTGGCGATTGGAGGCCCGAGGAGGAAGTGGGCAGGAAGGGCCATCTTGCATTGTTGATGATTGTGGTCTCTCTCTCTCATTGGGTGTGTGATGTTACGATGCTCCTGGAACGTGCACACATGCTGGGAATATAATCGATTCGGAGACATTATTTTGCTCGCTGAGTTCAGACTTTTATCACGACATTGAGTGGCTTCTCTCACGACTGGGCTCATTACAACTCTCTTTTTACCTCTCTGATTACATATTCCATAGTCGCCATAGGGAAGCGGGACTTCTGGCCCTGACTGTAGGTGACACTCTGACCTGGGGAGCTTGTGCCATATTTTATCCTTTTTTTTTCCTTCTTTTTTTTTGTCTTGTTAAAAAAAACAGGGCCTTATGGCTCTGGCTCCTTGTCCATTCTGGAGAGGATCAGTCCGGTTCCTATTCAAGTCAAGAATACATCATGTACACACTCCACTGCTTCTCCAAGGAGAACCAAGTGGGCGGCATTGATTACTTCCGAAGTGGAAGGATGTACCTCCCCTCACCCCTGCCTAAGTTAGCCTATAGGAACTACCGTCTTCACCCGAATAGAACGCCCGGTCATTACAGCTGCATTTGGCCCAACTTCAGTCCAGATGCAGCGATAGTGACCGGGCGTTCTATTCGGGTGAAGATGGTAGGTCTGAACTTGTCCTTTGCATTCAGTCCCAGTCCCATCCTTGCCCTCTTGTGCTCCTCTCAGCCTTCTTTTCTAGCTGTCAGATGTTTCTGGGAACCTGGAGCCATGTGCAAATTATAATCCAGCTTCTCTGCTATGCTGACCTGTCTATTCTTTTCCCTGCCACGACGTCTGTTTAAGCTGTCCTTGGGGGGAATCTGACGGAGAGGTCGTTAACCATGCTGTGGCTGATCTGTCCGGTATCTTTGAGCTGTGTATGGTGGTGCCCCTCTTCTTTTCTTTATGGTGTTCCTGGTGTCCTGCTCTACTTCCCTTTGCTCTTTCCTACCTTCTTCCCCCGAATACAACATACGGTCATTATAGCTGTATTTAGACTGAAAGATGCCTCAAATACAGCTATAATGACTGTACATTGTATTCGGCGGAAGAAGGTAGGATCCCCCAGCTTCAGTGTTCTCTTGACTAAGAAGTTACGAACCTTTTCTGTGTTCTCCTATTTCTTTTTTTTCTTTTTTTCTT